TAAAATCATTGTTTTTACTATTTGACTCTATTATCATGATTATTATTACGATTTATGCAACGTGTCACACTGGCTGCTGTCAACAAAAGCAAAGAACGAACAGCAATGGAAACGCAATGACAAACTGACAGCACTTAACGGCAAAGTAGTTACGGGTGTATTTGAACAAAGAAGGGGACGATGTAGAGGCACGGCTATAAATGTAAAGAGAGCACGAGAAAGCAAAAGGGCACACAACAACAAATATGCACATAAAAGTCGTATAGAATTCAGCTAAACACCGCTAGGGGGCGTATTTTGTGATATTGCCCTGAACATTTTTGCCAAAGAGCTTGATCGGAAATTATAATAAAATAAACATATGGACTTCAAAGCAAAGGGGTCTGTGGACGTATGAATAGCATGTCTGCATTTGTTATGTCAATTAGTTTTAATTAGTGCCGTTGAACTACTGCGTCATAATTGCAACATTAAAATTGTAAGCCTTGTTACTTTCCGAAAATCTCGAGTCCTACGACCAGGGAAACCAGCCAACGACCGGCAAGTGGATAATTAATTACGAGCAACGTAATCCTAGATCCATGTTTATAATTTTTACCTTTAAAAAGATAATCGTATTCGTCTTCCCTTGCGCCCATTTTGTTGTGTGATTAAATTACTTGTTCCTCCTGCTCCTACTGGTTGGGATACTCGTGTTTGTATGTCTGTGTAAGTGTAAAATCCAATAATCCTTACGCGCCGCCGTTTCTTAATGCGTTTTCTTTATCCGTGTATTTTGCTCTCACACTTTGCACACTTTATTTGTAGTTGTAATCGGGACAATATAAAGAAAAGAAAAATTATATCAATTCGATTTCAAATGGGCGTTTACGATTTTAAGCTTGCTTCCACGTAAGGTAACCGTTGTGCGATAGTTATTGCAATAACAGTTGCCAGTTTGTGTGGCGTATTAATGCATTTATTATTAATTTTCTTAGTCGCGACACACACTCACTTAGACTTAGTCACTCCCAATATATTCAGCGACGTGAAGTAGGCTGCGGCATGTATGACAATGCAAGTGACAGCCATAAGTACTCGATACTCGATACCTCACAAGTTGTAACGCCATGTTGATGACGTCAGTGTAGACCGCCTACGTACGTTAAAATTCAAATTGTCTTGTAAATTAAACCTTCATATTTTAGAAAAAGATATAAAAATGCATTTATTAAAGTATACAAAAACAAATAGAAATGGAAAGGGAAAAACTGTAGGTAAAGTATTTAGGGCAAGTAATACTAATGGTTGCTAATTGTTCAGTAAATATACATAAAATAATATATGTACATATATGTATATAATTTTGTTCTTATTCTACTTTTAATGCAGATAGTTTTAAATACTTGCACACTGCAAAGCAAGTGCCGGATAGACAAGCAGCAGTCCGCCGGCTATATACGTGATCTTAGAGCCCACGCACCAGAATGCTGAAAATAATTTAAAGATTTAATATAAATCAAGTAGAATGCAGTAGATGATTAAAAATGTGAAAAAAAAAAAAAAACAAGTAAGGAAGCTCTAGTCGAGACTGCTCTACTACGAGATACCCTGAACCCTTCGAGCAATTGACAATTCGCACACACATACACACACAGGCGACTGCGCTTGGGCTACGCTGCTGTGTTGGCAATATTATGAGAATTTATTATATGTATGTATATACTTTGTGGGGTCTGCCACGCCTCTTTCTGACTGTTACATACATTTTAACAAAACCATTATACCCTGATTTCCCATTTTC